TGAGGCGGTCCAAATAATTAGAAATGTGGGCCTCACAAGTCTTTATATAGTATTTTATACAGATACAGGCTTATGAAAACACATTTCCAAAGTCACCAGTGATTTTGGCTGCCTCAAGTTTTGGGTGCTCAATTTGAGACAACATAAAGCACTCTGATATTCAGAAAGTGCTGAGCACCTGCCCTCTGGAAGTCCCGCCCTTTTGGGGCATCATTTTGGGCTCCAAAACCAAGGCACCCAATATCACTAGCTACTTTTGAAAATCTAGGCCTTGTTCTTTACATTGTTACATTCTGGTTTTCCAGGAGTGCTGAAGTATTTAAAAAACATGGAATGGACCAGATTTATCTCTGGTTCAACTGCACTAATTCCAGGGGAATTGCATCAGCAACAGCTTTGCCCCAGTCTTCCTGGACAGGTTAATAAGTAATAAGAATGGAAGAAACTTCGGAAGAGAAAAAAGCTGGGAATCCACCAAAATATCACAAGAACTCCTGCTTTCAAAAGTGGATTTCAAAATTGGAGGTGGAGAGTATCATTTGCATAGGTATAAACTTAAACTGAAGGAGTTACTCTGGATATACACTAGTGTAGCACATCTGGCCCATGGACTGCTCCTGAAGTTTAAATGTCATCCTTATGCTCCTAATTCAATTAAAATAATATGTGCCAATGCTACGTAAAACCAGACTCAAACACAGGGATCACAATCTGCAGAAGTCCAAGGGGTTTGTTTGTTTTCAGTGGAGCTTTTTTGCTGAAGCCATCTGGGAAGTCTGGAGATCGATAGAAGATGGTTGGGGGAGAGAAAAAGGAATAATAAAGCCTGTTTGAAACTTTCAGAAATAATATCTTTCTAAGGACAATCCAAACACTTTGAAAATACATACCGTTTTATTTTATCCTCTGCCCTCAGGAAGGCCTACAATTATGTGCTGATAAACCAGCCTTGTTTTAAAACTGCATTTATTATAACAATGCTGTCTGTGCCAATGTGAGTGAGCATTTCTCAGCATTTCCTATAAACCTTTGATTTCTTGTAACTTGGCCATGAGAAATTCATTTGGCATAAAATGTGATCGTCTACAATGCAAATTAATTATTTTAGCTACTTGGGTAAAACAAGCTTTTGCTATACTGACGGCCCAAAGGTTGTGTCCTACACTGCTGATGAGAGAATTTCAAGGGAGATTTTCAAGAGCACCGAGGGGATTTAGATGCACAAATTCATTGACTTTTAAAGGGACTTTGTCTTTTAGGTGCTTTTGGAAAATCCCACCTTTCATTCCTAGTGCCGTTCCTTCACATGCCAGCGCCACAGAAATGCAACTTGCTGGGGACGTTGCATGCTTAGTCCCCAGGGATTTGCACTATTCAGCAGTAACCATCACTACACTGCCTCCACCTCTAATCTGGTCTACTGTGAAGCAGCATTCAATAGACAAAGAAAAATTGCACTACATAAATATTAAAGTTAAATGATATGAAACATTCTGCCCATTGCAAATAGCCCTAGAACAATCAAACTCCCAGCTGTGCTGGAAAAATGGCTTTATTCCATTTTGCCTTCCCCCAGATCATGGGGCCGATGGGGGCTGGTTTAGGGCCACTTAGGAGCTGGCTCAAGGCCCGACAGGACTCACAGCAGCATGCTCTGACCGTGCCCCTTCCTGCCCCTACATCCCAGTGGGTTGAACACAGCCAGATACCCAACTCAGGAATTACTCCAGGGGAATCCCCAGCTGACTATTTAAGTCAGCAGTAAAGCCCTGTTTGACCTTTCTATCTTCCAGCAGGATCTGGCCCACCATTCCTTAAGTTATCTTTTTTCTGTTTTTAAACTGTTTGAAACAAAGGGGGATCCTAGCAAATGCTGGGAGTGGTGTGGAGACAGTGTGTTCAGCCCTTCGATAACCCCCAAGCCAGCTAAGTGGTAGTACTGATGGGACCCACAGTGAATTAGAGCTAGCCTTCTTCCCTCCAGAGATGAATATGGCACTGACTTGTCGGCAGAACTGGTTAATAAATAGATAAATAAATAAATAAATAACTTTTCCCTCTGAAAATGTATTTATATCAAAATTAAGATGTTTCACTTTGTTTTGTTTCAATAATGTTGAAATTAGGGCCATCAAACAATTTTAAAAAGTAATCGCGATTAATCACACTGTTAAACAATAGAATATCATTTATTTAAATATTTTGAATGTTTTCTACATTTTCAAATATATTGATTTCAATTACAACACAGAATATAAAGTGTACAGTGCTCACTTTATATTTATTTTTATTACAAGTATTTGCACTGTAAAAAAACAAAAGAAATAGTATCTTTCAATTCATCTTTATCATGAAAGTTGAACATACAAATGTAGAATTATGTACAAAGAAACCTGCATTCAAAAATAAAACAATTGTAAAATTTTAGAGCTTGCAAGCCCACTCAGTCCTACTTCTTGGCAGGGCCGGCTCCAGGCACCAGCTTGGCAAGCAGGTGCTTGGGGCGGCCACTCCAGAGAGGGGCAGCAGGTCCAGCTATTCGGCGGCAATTTGGCGGACGGTCCCTCACTCCCGCTTGGAGCGAAGGACCTTCCGCCGAATTGCCACCGCAGATCACGATCGCAGCTTTTTTGGGGGGGGAGGAGGGGGGGCTGCTTGGGGCGGCCAAAACCCTGGAGCCGGCCCTGCTTCTTGGTCAGCCAATCACTCAGACAAACAAGTTTGTTTACATTTTCAGGAGATAATACTGCCTGCTTCTTGTTTACAATGTCACCTGAAAGTGAGAACAGGTGTTCTCATGGCACCGTTGTAGCCGGCATTGCAAGATATTTACGTGCCAGATGCGCTAAAGATTTGCATGTCCCTTCATGCTTCAACCACCCTTCCAGGGGACATATATCCATGCTGATGACAGGTTTTGCTCGATAACAATCCAAAGCAGTGTGGATCGACGCATGTTCATTTTCATTATCTGAGTCAGATGCGACCAGCAGAAGGTAGATTTTCTTTTTTGGTGGTTTGGGTTCTGTAGTTTCCGTATCAGAGTGTTGTTCTTTTAAGACACCTGAAAGCATGCTCCACACCTCGTCCCTCTCAGATTTTGGAAGGCGCTTCAAATTCTTAAACCTTGGGTTGAGTGCTGTAGCTATCTTCAGAAACATCACATTGGTACCTTTTTTGCGTTTTGTCAAATCTGCAGTGAAAGTGTTCTTAAAATGAACAAGTTGTGCTGGGTCATCATCCAAGACTGCTATAACAGGAAATACATGGCAGAATGCGGGTAAAACAGAGCAGGGATCATACAATTCTCCCCCCAGGAGTTCAGTTAAAAAAATAAGGCATTAATTAAATGTGTAACTAGTGTCATCAGCATGGAAGCATGTCCTCTGGAATTGTGTCCGAAGCATGAAGGGGCATATGAATGTTTAGCATATCTGGTACGTAAATACCTTGCAATGCCAGCTACCAAAGTGTCATGCAAATGCCTGTTCTCATTTTCTGGTGACATTGTAAATAAGAAGAGGGCAGCATTATCTCCTGTAAATGTAAACAAACTTGTTCTTCTTCAGCCAATCACTAAGACAAAGTAGGACTGAGTGGACTTGTAAGCTCTGAAGTTTTACATTGTTTTGTTTTTGAATCCAGTTATGTAACAAACAAAAAATCTACATTTGTAAGTTACACTTTCACAACAAAGATTGCACTACAGTACTTGTATGAGGTGAACTGAAAAATACTATTTCTTTTGTTTATTGTTTTTACAGTGCAAATATTTATAATCAAAACTTTGATTTCAATTACAACACAGAATACAATATATATGAAAATGTAGAAAAAGTCCAAAATATTTAATAAATTTAAATTGGTATTCTATTGTTTAACAGTGTGATTAAAACTGCAATTAATGATTATTAATTTTTTGAATCACAATTAATTTTTTTGAGTTAATCACGTGTGCTAACTGTGATTAATCGACAGCCCTCGTTGAAATGTTTTCTTTCAACTTTGTTTCATTTAGACTTTTACATTTTAATATTTAATGTGTGCATATTAGATATTTTACATTGCGTTTCAGCATTAACAAAAATTTTTTACCTCATCAAAACAAAACGTTTTGAGGTTTCCTAAGAGAAATATTTTTGGAATTTCTGTTGCATGAGAAATTTTTAATTGTTACAATTTGGAATGAGATCAGGTTTTGAAATGTCAGAATTTCCCACGGGATGGAAATCCCCTTTTTGACCAGCTTTGCTTGTGGGAGGTAAGCGGGCATTTTCACACAGGACCCAGTCCACATTGGCAGAGCTTCAGCAGTCTTCTTCACAGTGCTCATAGGACACTCTGTGCCAGCAGTATCCGAGTTCTCAAGTTATAGCTGAGACATGCAGAGTTTTATGTGTAGGAAGGCAGTGGGGTTCATATCTTTTCCTCCATTAGTTTTAATGGCCCACATCTGTATAATCAGTGGGTGTTTCCCTAACCCACACACAGGGCCGGCTCCAGGCACCAGCGTAGGAAGCAGGTGCTTGGGGCGGCCAATTCAAAGGGGCGGCACTCCGTCTGGTATTGGGGTGGCATGTCTGGGTCTTCGGCGGCAGATCCCTCATTCCCTCTCTTACTCTTTGAGCTGCCGCCGAAGTGCCGCCGCTCGTCTTTTTTTTTTTTTTGGCCGCTTGGGGTGGCAGAAAAGCTGGAGCCGGCCCTGCCCACAAAGCACAGAATACTAGAATAGGAAACAAAAGTGAATTCTGCAGGGTAACAGTACCCTTCCTCTAAAGGTGTAAAGAGCCTTTGTAAACACATAATGCTCTTCTGGATTGCCGAATGGCTCACAGGACCACGTCAGCAAATTCACTTAGTACCCCTGGAAATGCAATGCTCTAATAGCGATCAGATCAGATATCAGTTTCATGTTATCCCTTTATCTGTCAGGTTGGTATGATGAGAGTACAGTACAAACTGGGTTTAATAATTCTTTTTGTTCTCTCTTTCCCTTTTAGAAAGGAAGAGTTTTTAACTGATCCTAATGACAGAATCAGTTCAATGTGGAAAGTGGAAAAGACCCTGTTTTTTTCCAAACTCTCCTTCATCTAATCACTGACACCCATAACTCTGGAGAGTGGAGATCATCAACCATATTAGCAAGAGATAAAACAAGCTTGCCAGATCACCCAGGAATAAATCATCTGCAATGTGATAGGTTGGCAGAAAATTCACCTCCTTTGTTCAAAAACGAAAGCCTGTATAGAGCTAAGCCTGGCAGCAACTTAGATCTGTCAGTTCCAGAAGAGGACTAAAGAGATTTGGGCAAATTAAAACTCTGACAGCATAAGAAGTTATAACAACAAAAAATAGTCTCTAACAGGGGCATGTGAGAAATTACTTCCAAAGGCTCCTGTAGAGCAGTTTGCTTAACCAAGAGGAGTGAAGGTCTCATAACCAACACAACTGTGCTTTCTCTACAGAACTCTGGTCAGAATTCACTTTCAGGTGTAAATTCCCTTTCTGGATTTTCTTCATGAAATGGGTGAAGGAAGGCAACATTTTAACGGTGAATAGAGAAAATGGACAAAACCTGAGAGTGAGCAATGACTGAGATTTATTTTAAATACCGTGGAAATCTTACTGGCCGTGTCCACTTGCCAACCCTGTCTACAGAAGTAAACACAACAGCAGATAAATATGCCAACCTGTACATGTATGTTGGCTTGTTCCTAACGCTCCTGGCCATCCTTCTCATACTGCTCTTCACCATGCTCTTGCGCTTAAAGCACGTGATCTCCCCAATCACCACCTCTCCAGAAAGCACAGAAAATGTTCAGCAGTTTACGGATGTAGAAATGCACAGCAGGATTCCTAGCATTCAATGAGACAGAAGCAAGAGGAAGGAGGAAGGAATTGCATGGTTCACAAAGCACCTTTTGTTTGGCAAAATATGCATGTGCTTTGTGGGGAGGAGAACCCCCACCTGCCCACTCTGCTCTGCAATGTACTGCACCTGATAGGGCAGAATCATTTGACTCATTTGTGAATTGACAGTCATAAGATATCCAGTAGGCTTAGGACACTCCTGCCCCCTGAAGACTGCAAGCAACATGTGTTGAGAAGTTTGGTTTCTAGGAGAATATAGAGCACACGTCCTAAATAAAATCTAGACCACAGAAGTCCCGTTGCTCTCAGGAGAGACTCAGCTCCTCCTGAAAAGATTTAATGCAAATGATAAAAACTACTATAATGACAGCCAAAAAACCAAAAACTTACAAGAATATTTTCTGAAAGATGTATTTGCTGAGTTATCTTCCCCTCTATTGCTAGAGGAGAGTCCTCGCCTGATAAGAGACTTGAACTCAAAGTTAATTTGTGGCGCAGGCTCAAAGAGCCCACAGGGCACATATGAAAAATGAATAGTGGTGTGAAAATCCCCAGACATCCATCCCATTCAAGAAGGAAAATCTTAAATGGTGTTTTTTTCCACTTGGAATAGCACATTTGCAAAATGCAATTTTGGAAATAGAGACATGTTCCTGCTATAAGGCCAATGTGCATCATATACTGGGGCTATTACTTTCAGACATTAAGAATCAAACAAACAGTGAATAGTGCATTCCAATTATCAGAAGGAGGCAGTTCATTCAGAATGAAAGAAAATAAAAGGTAAAGGTATGTGCATGAAACAAGCAGCGTGAGTCATATTCAGAAGAGACACTGCCTCTGGGTCCCTGCCCTTCCTTCGCAGGAATTGCATTCCCTAAAACTAGGTTCATTTCTTTCAGCTTTCCCAATGCCACTCTGTAATTCAAATACTATTTAATGTTACTGAATTAAGTGGACATTGCTAACAGTGATAAGGTTGTTCTGAATTTGGACCTCTCTCTCGTCTCCATGTAGTTTCCCCCCAGAAAACGCCAAAACTCCCAATACTTTTCTCCCAAGGATACGGGGACAGGGGAGAAGGTGAAGGGAAGAGAATGCCAAGACCCGACACTGCAATAATAAATCAGCATACACAGCTCTGTACTCTGGAGTTATCCTAAATGACCAACTAGTGTGCTTACAAAATTAAAGGAAAATATGAGCACTGAAATAGGAGAGCAAGATTCCAATTGATCAACTGGAACAGTAAGAAAAAAATATCTAACATTATGAAACAATATGTTGGAAACGTCCTTTTAACGTCTCTCTATATAAACATATAATACCCTATGTAAAAAAATAAGGACTTTCTTCACATGGATCAGAAAGATGGCAATCAAATATAGCATCTCACTTCTGTTGGGCCACTATCTCTTGTAATGACACTTTTTAGACAGGGATAATTTTAAACTCATATGTACTGGGCAGGTGCTTCCCCATGGATTTTAACTAGCACATCTTACCTCCTTTGCTCCTGTCTAAATCTAGCCTTGTGATAAAGCTCCCTTGTGCTTTCCACTTTATATACAATTAATTGCCAATTCTGCTCTCTCCAAGGGACTGGAAAGCGAAAACTCCCCACACACAGTGCTAAAATTAGCAATGGCACTGACTCTACAGACCTGTAACAACAATAAGAACTTGTTCTTCCAATGCTTCGGGAATTGTGGTTTCTTTGTCCTTATCGGTCGGTTGTTCGGTGGGTTGTTTTTGACTAGAAGTCTGGCTTCTTTATCTCTCTATGGGGAAGAACAAGATGCTAAAACCACACTGGTCATGAATGGTCCACAGCAAGGATTAGCAATTATTGTCACTGCTGTTTTGACTGGAAGACTGTTTAAAGACTCTTTCTCCACATAGAATAGCATCTTTTGTACTCAATGTACTCCATGAGATGCAGGCTCAACATAGAAAACGGTTAGTGCAGTAACTATGTAAGCAAACACAACATCCAATATATTTCAGCAATATCTCCCACACAGCCTTGGACATTAGACTGTATTTGCCTGGAAGAGAAATGTAGGCCAGGTCATAGGTTATCCTGTACTCTTGTGCCATGGGATCATCACTTGAGCATCTACTAGACCAGTGGTTTTCAAACTTTCTTTCTGGCAACGCAGTTGAAGAAAATTATTGATGCCAATGAGCAATTCAGAGTGTGGGAGGGGGCTCTGGGCTGGGGCAGGGGGTTGGGAGGAGGGGGTCAGGGCTCTGGGCTGAGGGTGCTGGCTCTGGGGTGGGGCCAGGGATGAGGGGTCTGGGGTGCAGGAAGGGGCTCTGGGTTTGGGGGGGCCTTAGGGATGGGGAAGGGGCTTTGGGTGTGGTTTGGGGTGTGGGCTAACCTCTGGCGGCTCCCGGTCAGTGGCACAGCCGGGTGCGGAGGCAGGCTTCCCGCCTGTCCTGGCATCGCAGACCTCGCTGTGCCCCAGAAGTGGCTAGCAGGTCCAGCTCCTAGGTGGAGTGTGAAAAATTGGGACAGGGGTGGGGGGGGTAATAGGAGCCTATATAAGAAAAAGACCCCAAAATCAGGACATCTGGTCACCCTAGTGGAGATGCACAAGCAGCTCCGCGTGCTTCTCGCGTGCAGCCACCGGACCCCCCCCAAGCTCCCATTGGCCGTCTGGTGCTCAGGGCAGAGCCCCATGGCTCCCCTACCTACGAGCCAGACCTGCTGCTGGCCACTTCCAGGGCGCAGCGCGGTGTCAGAACACATAGGGACTACTAGTTTTTACTGGGCGGCCGCCCGGGTCCCTGGGTGCTGAGCAAGGTGACCCAGTGCCTTGCATTCTGCGACCCAGTACTGGGTGGTGACCTGAACTTTGAAAACCACTGTACTAGACAGGACCTTGGCTTAACAGTTCATCTGAGGGATGTTACCTCTAAGAGTGCAGCACTCTCCTGTTGTGATGCTCTATCAACACTGCTTAGGAGTCCAGATTCTACTTGTTGTAGGATTTAAACCTAAATCCTGCTAAGACAGATTGCTACTAATTGAGCCATGCTGTCATGTATGTTTAAGGATATAAAAATAGGTTTACTTGATACGGTTTCATTCTTTCAGCAGCAAAAGCACAGAATACTGGCTAGTCCACCGCCATCTTTTGCAGGACCCTTTTAAAAGTGTACAAGAGCCGTAGGATTCTGACCATTCCTTAACCCATGTGGCAATTAATAATCTCTATGAAATAATAATCTTCTATCACAGCCACCCAGAGAAGGAAAAGTTTTGCTCCCAAGAAACAGAGAGAGCTGCAGATATATCTATTTAATGAAGATATTTCAGTACAAAGAAAAATGACACACGAATTGATTTTGGGCCCAATCCTAATAGCAATTAATTGGGACCCTTAATTTTCTGTTAAAATATTTTAACTCATAAAAGTACTCTTATTCAAAAATTGATTTAATAAATATATTGTAAATGAAAGGTTGATCCATTCATATTTAATCATATATTATATTTGGGCAGATAATATATTTCTATACAATACTGCCAGGAAAGGCATCCAGAGCTACCAACATACAGCATCACTTTTCCCATCCGATGTTTTGTGTCTCCATTTCAGATAGCAAGTAGCTGTTCAGCTCAGTATGCCCTGGTATGCTCCCTCCATAGGCTATTTACATAAGACCTATATATATTTTTGTTAGAAAACACATATTCACACTGTATGCACTGCTTGTCTTTTTCAAGGCTAGCAAATTTTAAAGTCTGCATTTCTCAAAGAAACAAATAAAATACATGTTCTCCATTTGTAGTCTTTTTGTTCCTATTTGTAATTTTCAGGAGCCTGGGCCTTCTGGGGAAAGGCTTTATTTGTTTGCTTCCCACTTGTCCATCTGCTAAAAATTATTTTTATAAAACCTAAGAGAAATACTATAAATCAATTCTGCATCAGCTGGCTGCTTTATACTACTACCATAATGTGCACAAGGCCAGCAGCTCATAGTAGGGCTCACATGGAGGAGTCATATACTCCTCCAGTGGTCCCACTGACTTCAACTGAATCATGAGGACTGCTGGAGAATCACAGAAGTAAGGAACTACTAGATGAGATTAAATGTAAGCCCGGCTGTGCACCCATGCAGGAGAATAAGGGAATGTAAGGAGCCCCCATACTCTGTTTGAGCTACCTGTATTGCCAGAGCCTTTGCCGATCACTTCCACCCTAGAGCAAAGGACCAGGCTTCACTGACTGAGTCCTAATTTGGTTCCAACCCTTCTCCTGGTAGAGGGCAACTACACATTGCTCCTTCCTTAGGCTGGATTGTAAGGTTACAGTCCAGCCCTGTTCGAATCTGATAACCTTACTCAAACTCACAATCATCAGGAAACAGAAGCCATCACAACTGCCCTTAATAGTCCTCAAAAATTCTCCCATCATATTTAGTCTAAAGGTTGCCAAGAACCCTCCTCCCATTCCGCACACAAATTGGACATAACCGGACATCTAACTTTTTATTGGATTTATTCTTCTCTTATCCCATATGCATAACTCCCATTGACATTACTGATAACACTGCATTAATAAACCCTTGAGTGGGGAATAGGGCAAGAATGGTTTACAGTATATGCTCTTAAACAAACAGACATCTTCCCATCGTTTTAATATAATATATGATGGGATATACCTATCTCATAGAACTGGAAGGGACCTTGAAAGGTCATTGAGTCCAGCCCCCTGCCTTCACTAGCAGGACCAAGTACTGATTTTGCCCCAGATCCCTAAATGGCCCCCTCAAGGATTGAGCTTACAACCCTGGGTTTAGCAGGCCAATGCTCAAACCACTGAGCTATCCCTCCCATCATCACAGGCCTCCAGAGGTGAATTTAACTTTGTAACAGCAAAGTTCAGCAAAGGGTAACCATCAGACTTCAGGAAAGGAAAACTTTCTTTTTTTAGATGGGACAAGGCCAAAAACACGCTGTTCCCAACTCTGGTTGAGAAAAGCAAATGGTATGAAATCGCCCATTAGCTTAGTTGCCTTAATCAGGGATGAAGACTTTGCTTTGCTCTTGGGCCTGGTCTTCACGAGGAAAAAAGGAGTGTTCTTTCCTGGTGTTAGCTAACATATGAAAAAATCTGAGATCATCCACCCTGAAGGCTGGCCCTCGTCATGACAAACATGCCTGTAAATTCTAATATAGAGAGGACACATATGCTTGTTCATAATCATATTTAATCCTGTGTCCTGCAAAAAAACGTGTGTCCTGTCTACAGTCATGTTTCACCACATAATGAATGTATGTTAAAACAGCAAAAGATTCAAATACAAACATACCTTCTGGGCTAAAAATCCTGATTCACAATCTGTCCAATCACCCTCTATGAACTTTCATGGTGGGGGGTCTCTGATGGGAAAAAATCCACAAGTGATTGTGGCTGCTTGATACATTTAGCATGCTTGGAAAGGACTGTAAAAATGACACACAAAAAACATTCAAGTGTATTCTTAAACATACTGATAAATACACAAGAGCTGCTGAGAAAGGATTTAGGACCTCTTCCTCTATCAGAATCAAGCAAAGCTAGGGGATCTCCCATATCAATTTTCAGCTGCTATCTATCTACCTGTGAAGATCTGGGTATGAATTTAATATTTTACAGCAGCATTCATTTATGACACAAACATTACACATGCACTGTTGCTGTTTTACAGTCGTGGCTTCAAGGCACTGAGCATAAAGTTTAGACTCTATGAGGGGCTGTGTATCCTTCATCACCCTCAGATCTGTAGAGACAATGACGGTCCAAAAGGAATATAAGAAGTTTACAGATACTAAAGTTCACCTAGGTACTTATAAAAAAATTACCATTTGCCTAGGCTTCAAAATGAACAAGCAAAGAGCGGAATGAAAAGTTAACTCCTAGATTACTAGATTCTCCTCCCCTCTCCCTGGATTATTGCTTTATATGCAGATTGCCTTAGTCCTTTCACAACAGAGGAAGATTAAGTCCATCTTCCAAGGCAGTTAATGTTCTGTATGAACAATAACATTAAACTTGTTTTTGGCAGAGTGATTTTTATCGAAGGTGTTCTGGGATCTTCTTAGATGTGGGCAGAAGGAACTCATTCAGCAGTAGATTATATTTAGCTAATAGTGGAGGTGGGTCAATGACATTCAGGAAGGTGTCTATCCAATTCAGATACAATTTATAAATA